GGTCTACTTCATATCCAAAACATACTGACAAATCTATGGCAAAGTAGACGAATCAGCGACTGAACCATCTTGCTCTACTGGCATTTTTTTTGTGCTCAAGTACTCATATAGTACTACAAACACACCAAACAGTATATATTTGGCCTACGTCACATCCGAGCCACACAGATCGGCCTAGGGCTAAATCTAATAGGCCTGTTTCGACGAATGAGGCTCCATTAGAGTAGCTGAACCTAGGGGGTTGCCTTAACCTGGAACCCAGCCCGATCTAAAAGGAAAAAAAAAGTCAAGGATTATGTTCTGACAAATGATATGTCGATGGGACTTACCTTGGAGCGCCTGTGTGCTTTTTTGCAAGTCTTAAGTATAGCATTAGTAAAGGAAGTACTGCAGGCTACCTGCAATTAAAAATCCAAAGGCTCCCCTATGGAAAAGGCATCTGATTGATTTTACCCAGCAATATTTAAATGGACTCCGTGTATGATGGAGACCATATAATGAGTTTCCGACCGTGCTAGAGCATTTCTGAGGATGCACTGAATCGATTTTAAGTCCGTCATATGATTTGTCTTTAACTAAAGTCATGTTTCTTGGATCGCACGCGATTCTTACTCCTGTCTCGTGCATGCGGAAGCGGGATTGCCTCCTTCCTCCTCCCTGCCCCACAAACATTTTATTCTCCCTCTGTCTCTTGGTTTGGCCAAGCAGAGAGAGAATTCAGTACTAGCCGAAAGCTCACCCAACGTTTCCTCATCCGTCCTTGAAATGGGAAAAGCCGATCGAAATTGGTGTAAATTTAGGCAGAAAATGAGAGGAGGGAATGTCGAGAATGAAGGGAAGGCGAGACAAGAAAAAAAAAATTGGGGGGGGGGGGGGGGGGGGGGGGGGGAGGANGGGGGGGGGGGGGGGGCGGGGGGGGGGGGGGGAGATAATCGGATTAGAGGGAGAGAGTGATAGAGAACAGGGCTTGGCCGGAATTCCATTACCATTGTTTATCTCTTTCTTCTCTTCTTTCCCTCACTCCCTTTTTTTTCCCATCCTCTGTCCTCTCATAGGATGGGAAGGAAGTCCCTGTCTGATCAATATCCCCTGCTCCCATCGACATGACTATAAAAAAAAAAGATTTAAAATAAAGGAGAAAGGACAATCTATGCTTCTTAGCCTGCTTCTCTTTTTCAAAGCTTCTTTCCTAAGAGTTGAATTTTGGTTCTTTGTTACAGAATTCGGATGCGGGATCCGGATCAGATCTCTTCACCACCTCGCCCAGCCGAAGTGAGTACACACTTAGTTTTCATTTATAACTTTGGTTTTTGCTTTTATTTAGTAATTTAATAACTTTGGTATATTCGGTACAAAGAAATGTATTTTTATAAGTGGAAAAACATCCAAAACCCTATGATGCCTTTAAAGTTCACGTAGACTAGGGTAGACAAAAGGGAATGAGGGGGGCACTCTTCTATCCTGTTAATTTGCTGGGACCACCCCAGGAGAAATTATATCTCCCCTCCCCTAATCGCCCTACAGAGACAGAGACAAGGAGAGCTCTATAGCTCTGTTGGTTCACTGTTTGCTCTGTGTATTTCCCAATGGAGATCTGTCTCTCTCCCCTCTCAATGTTTGAACACTCACACTCCTCTCTCTTTATTGACAACCGTGGCGCGCTCTCTCTTCTCTCTTGTATCTCTTGGAACTAGATGTCAATTGAGAGGAGCTTCGATGCATTCATTATTCACCATTATCGAAATGCTTTTCCCCCTACCTTCCTCCTCCCTCTCCTCGCGTGTGAAGGGACTGGGACTAAAGAGGGGGAAAACGACTCGAAGTATAGGTCATGTATTTTCTTCATTGACGTCAACACTGAAGTGAGGACGAAGAAAAAAAAGGAACACTTTCTTCACCTTCAGTCCTTTTTCTGAAAGAGGATGAGGGACACAAAAAAACTCTTGTTTTGACAAGCTCTATCTCTTTTTTTTTTTTCTCTCTCTCTCTTTCCTGGAGATGGGTCTTGGTATAATAAGTCTTGTCAAAGGAAGCTTGTTTCCCCGTCAATCCTTTTTTTCCCCTCCTCTCTCTCCTCTTCTTTCCTCTCTTTTGTCTCTCGAGAGAAGGAAGACTTGGAAGCGCAGACATGCACCTCGCCTCATCGCATCCTGAACGTTTCCAAAGTATTTGTGCATGAGCTTCATAAAATAAATCCCAAGGGAGTGTGTTTGCTTTGTGGCTGGGTCAAGATCTGTACATTTGACACTTTCGCCGCGATCTCAGTCATTTATGTGTGACATAGCGTGCCAGAATAATGCAGCAAATTCGGTCTGGTAGCGAAAGCGTGAAGTGTGAAGTCACGACTGTGGTTTCTTCTTGTAAAATGCTCAGCATTTCCATGGAAGTTACTGAAGTCTACTAAGCGCTAAGACGCTTTAACGTCGACGTTAAACCTCTGTGGTGACCCCGTTATGTCGAACCCTCCTCGATGCAACATGCGCAGTCGAAACCAGCTGACCTCGGACATGCCCTAACAATACGAGTGCGCATACTCCGTGGAAGCGTCGCAAGCTAAATCGACTCTGCGTTTCCATGCACTCTTGGGATAAAGCGTATCAGGAGGGGGGGTCCGAACTACCATGGAAACGTGTCATCGTAACTCATATCGACTTCGGCCAGATGTGCTTTTACACCTCCACGGAAATGTGGTGGTAGTGAATACACTGGAAGAGATGGACAGAAGAATCGAAGAAAAGGGGAGAGAGAGAGAGATGAGAGAGTCATAAAACACAATGGTTAGATATTTGAGGGGTAGAAATCCCATATCATGAAGGTCTTTTATGGGAGGGAGGGATATATAGAATGGCCCATGAACGTGATGGCCAGATTATTATGGACCTTTTCACCCTCCTGCACAGGCCAGTAAATTGATTGACGTCGATCAGCTCCCTCCCTTTCCTCTCCTGTGCCCTCTAAAAGTAGAAAAAGAAGAGCCGGAGGAGGAAGTACGGTATGATTATGGAATTACGCTGCGACTTAGTCTTGAATTTCCCCTCCCCCCTCTTCCACTTATTCTATTAGGCTGCAACGTTTGTCCAATTAAGAACGTGATTTATACCCCCTCTTGGGAAGGGATTGCTTCCGGTCTTCTATCCTCCTCGTCATGACAAAAGTAGACGTGTTGAAAATTGGAGTTAATTTTAAAGAGAAATACGATTAAATTAAAGCCTAAGAGTATTACGGGACAGTTTCATCATCAAAATATTCAAGTAAAGAAGCTAAATAGTTGAATGAAATATCACTGAACGAATCTTTATTTATAAAAATTGTTAGCAAAATTCAGCATTGATCTGAATTTGAAATGATGAACCGCTCTGTGTATTGTCCCCATGAATGATTGAATGAGGTGGATAAGGGGAAAGATAGGAAAGGGAAATCAGGGGAGGGAGGAGTGATCGATCCGCGGCACGTGTCTCGGTATTAATATGCGGATTAGCTTTCAATTATGAAGCGAACCCGCTATCTTTTACTCTCCCCTGAGTCTGAGTGCATTCCACCAAATGAATCTCCGCCTCGCTTATAAATACTTCGCCGTCGAAGAGGGAGAGAGCACAAAAAAAGGCATCCCGACTCATTGCGCATGAAAATAGAGTGTTTATTCTGGAGGGAAGGATGAGGATGGGGATCTTTTATGGCCATTCCACGGGAGGTGGTGTGGACCGTGTGAACAGCCTCTTTCTTTCTGTTATCCCCCTCTGTCCCAAAATAACTTCCCCCTTGTGGATCTTGGCTCCTTCCTCCAGCTTCTCTATCCTCTGTGACTCTCTTTCCTCTTCCCACAATTTGTCTGTCTGTCTCTCTCTCTCTCTCTCAATGCCAGCTTCTTTCTCTGTCTCTCTCTTGTCCGTGTATTATTAGCCTTTCCCTCTCCCTCTTCTACACTTGACACCCTGAACTGCTTCTCTCTCCCATCTTTTCTCATGCTCCATCTAATACGGTTTTTTTTTGTCCATTTAGTGACACTCGTGCCCATTCTTGGGAATTTATTATTGTTATCATCGGAGGAGGGGTCGTAGTTGGGCGCTATGATTTCTCACACGATTTATCAGCGCTTCGATTCATTATATAGGCCTCAAGAATCTGAGAATAAATGTGAGAATAAGAACAGTACGAATATTAAAAATAACAATTCCAATAGACACTATTCATTAACACGAATCATATATTTTAATACATTTGTCTACCCCCGACTCGGAGACGAATGGATTGGAATCCTGTGAGGAAGATGTACGGGTGGGTAAACAGTGAACGGAGTTTATGAGGAGAGGAGGGGTTGACCTCCCTGTTCCTGTCTGCAGACGGGATAGGAAGAGAGGGATGTGTGAAAGAGATCGCTCATTTCCTCCACACAGCAAGGAGGATCATGTCTGTCTTCCCCTCTCTATCTGTCTCTCTTCCTCCCTTTTTTATCCCCTCATTTCTCGGCAATGAATGGAAGGGGGGGGGGAGAGGAGAGGGCAGAAAGACTCCAGAGAGAGGAAGAAGAAGAAAAAAAGTCTACTAGAGAGAGCCAAGAAGGAAGGGGATGATGAAAAGGGAAGAGATCATTTGTCTCCTCCTCCTAACGATCCCATTGCATGTCTTCCTCTTTTCCATCCCTCCTTCCTTCCTCCTTCCATAGGCCTCATCTCCGTTGTGGAACGGAAAAAAAATCGATCTCCCTCCACCAACAGGAGAGAGAAAAAACTAATTTGATTTCCGTGGTGTGTTTCATTTGGTTACGGGGAGGGAAAGGCCGAAGGACAGGAGAAATGGAGGGAAATTCCTCTCCTTATTTCCTTCTTTTTTCCTTCTTTTCTCTTATTTTCTTCCCCTCTGGCTTCATTGACTTCCCTTTTGTGTTCTCCTTTTCTCCCTCTCCCGCATCAATCTTCCTCTTCAAAGCCTCCCCCTCAAAAAGGAAGAAGAAAAGGGAGAAGGATTTCTTCTCTCTGCTCTTCTACCGCCGCATCGTCTTTCACCCGCCACACCCAACAGTCTTTCTGGCAGATTTTTATGTCATCTTGTATAGGGGTGTAGTTGTGAAAACGTCGGTGAAAAGCAGAGGGGAGATCAGGACAGAGGGCAAGCAGATGTCGAGTGTGATGATATGGCAACTAAATCACTGTGATATGACTTACCATGATGAAGCAACTTGCTCACCCCATTCCAAATGTTCTAGGGATCTTCCCGTCGAGCCAGGAACGGGTGAAGAGCAGCAGCGGTTCCAGTCCCAGCCCCGCCAGTATTGGCAGCACCACCCCCGGTGCTGGAGGGTCCAAGAATCCGTTCTCGGTGCCGAACGGTTTCCCGCCCGCGACCGCCCACCACACCCGTTACCATCCTCATCCCCACGCCCACCCTTTCTACGCGCGCCACCACCCGTACGGCGTCGAGAAGGGTGATCCGAATAATGGCGTCCAAGATCTCAGCAGAAAGAAACCGGGCGTGAACAACCACGTGAATCACTTCCATCATCATCAGCATCATCATCACCATTACCCTCTGTTGAACCCAGGACAGGGACGTGGAGTGAAGGGGGGAGTTAGTGATCTCAGGCCTTCTCAGTGGGATCCCAGGCAATATGGTGAATGGGCGAGGCTGAACCTCTCCATCCCTAAGCAAAACGCCTTGGGATTGGGAGCCTTCAACTTGACCACTCCTGCTCCCCAGCCCACACCACCCCCTCCTTCCGTTCCTCCTTCACCTTCCGGTCGACCCTGGAGTCCAAACCATCGGGTGCAGGTGGGTCTCGCTTGTTTTATGCCTCTCATTTCATGAAGTACAATCCTGTGACTTATCGGTTGATAAAGGGGAACGAATTCGTCCTTCTCTCCCACATGAGGAAATAGCATTTATATCAGTTTTGGAAAAAAGTAAATGTAAAAACAGGATTGAAGGAGTAACTTACAAGAAGAAAGAGCTTCAAATGCTGCACGAGGGGATATTTTAAGATTCCGAAGAAGAAAAAAAAAGAGAGAAAGTAATATGAAATGGTAGTTAAGAATGGATGGGTAATCGAAATCCATTGGATAGCGATGAGATGAAAGCTTTCCTTTCTACGAATGTAGCTGAAAGCAGGAAGTGGAGTGTCCCACAGTCCGAGTCAAAGTCAAGGAGTACCACGTCATCCTCAACTGATATCAAGCCTCAACAGCGGTCGCATGACCACGGCCTCCCTCAAGAACCAGGGTGGTGGTGGAGGACCTGGACCTGGACCTGGACCTGGACCTGGACCTGGACCTGGCCCTGGCCCTCCCCCTCCGAACCCGACACTCACTCAATCACGAAGCACACCCACCCCCAAACACCAGCATTCTCACCACACTCCTTCTCCCACCCACAAGTGAGTTTGATATTAGTAAAACATGAGCACGTTCTTATTCTAGACCAGTGGTTCCCTACCGGTAGGTCGCGAGAGAATGAAGTGAATTAAAAGATAAGAGAGATATTGAGAAGAAAGAGATCAATCATAAGTGCCAAACCGAACTACAGGGATATATTACTAGAGCTTGACTTTCCAGGAACGACCTAATCTATTAATCCAGACAAGAAGGCAGCACAAGGAGAAGGCTTGCTGGCAAACAATTCCAAGAAAGGGCAAACAGCTTTTAAATTACTTTCTAATCATTCTTGCTCTTAACCTCCATCCCTAGTGAACTCCTCGTCAGTTCTGGCATTCCCTCTGGTTCCTAGGTGCCGTGGTTAAGGGTGACGCTGTTTTTTTGCAGGCAGAAGCCAATGCTTATTTTCGATTTCGTTTCTCTGCTACATGAACTATATGCTATTCCTTCTCTCAAATTTAGTATAATGATTCATACCTTCAGTTTGGTTTCACAGTGTCAGAAAGTATGAAACTAGAATGCTAAGTTTGTGGCGAACAGCTGGCCAAAGCATCCATGAAACCTTCAAAATTGAAGCAACATTTAGATCGAAATCACCCAACATTGCAGGATATACCAAGTGAAGTTCTTTCAGAGAAAGATCGAAGAGGAAACAGGGGAATAATGAAGGAATCGCCAGTGCCAAAAGAGCGTCATTTCCGTATTTAAAAAAATTAATTTAAACATTTTTCGAGTCACACGACTGCAGTATTTCTGGACGTTTCTAAATTTGTGGGTCGCATGAAGATGGAAAGAGGACTTGGGTCGCGACATGGAAAAGGTTGAGAAGCACTGTTCTAGGCCCCCTTTCGCGCTGAAGCTTCGCAAATGCATATCACTTTCAAGTAGCTTTTGCTACTATGAAGGGAACAATTACAATCAGAGATTACTTGCTTATCTTCCACGATCAGTTTCAAAGATGGTTCTAAACAGTAAGTAAATTATAAACTTGTGCTGGCTGACACTTATGCCATGATTAATTAAGAGGACCAAGAGAAACTCCTAGGCTTTACAGTTACCCTAGACTGAAGCCTCACGCCCGTTTCTCTTATAGGTATTGTTCTCCAAAGGGAATCTAGCTAGCAAATGCCCTTCCTAAGTCATATCATTCAGCAGAGTCTTAAGAACATCGCATTTCATACCGTATAACAATTATTTATTCCTAAATAAATTTATCCCCATAGGATACATGGGTAAAGTGAAAAATTTAATGAGGAATGTGGCTTTTAATTAATAGCTCCCACTTCATGATGGGATGCGCAGTGATGGCTAACATTTTGCAATGAGCATATGGTTAAATAAAGGAATGGTCTCTCTCTTCCAAGTACTAGATTAGTTAATTGAAGTGCTTGAAAAGTGGGATGTCAGTAAGAAGAGGAAGAAGAGGAAGAGGATCATGAGAGAGTCAATAGAGCGTGTGGAGTGGCCTCTCGAACATCAGAGAGACCTCAGTCCTGGCAGATGACGTCAGAGTTCTCGATCACTTGAGTTGGTCTCCCACTCAAAAAACTTCTCCTCATGAGTCAGGGAGAGAGAGGACTAGTTGTTTGGAGATGACAGTTTGGAGAGTGTATTTATCGCTCAAGTGCCTCCTTGTCGCGGATGGTAGACTGTATATACATATGCTCCATCCTGCGCTTCAATGATTTGGTTTGTTTTTTTTCCTGTCTTGCTTCGTAGGGATGAGAAGCGGGCGGAGAACGGACCCACCAAGCCTTCGTCTCCCTGGCCCCCGCAGAGCAGGTAAGAATGAAGTAGAAGGGAGAAGATGAAGTATTCCATGTTTTGTTCTGCTTGAATCATGAATGAGGCCGAAGGGGAGGGGAAAAGGCGTCGGGAATTTGGCCTTAAACATTCATGGCTCCATTCACGAGCTTCCCCCCCCCCCCTCCTCAAATATTCATCCCCTTGTGAGTCCAGTCAGGAATAATTCAAGCGTTGGGTCCCCCCTCCATGAACCATTAATCCATGCAGTCGATTACTGTCGGGTATAAAAGCACCCATTTTTATTGGCCTGGCACGCCAGGAATACATACACTCCTTATTCCACCATATGTAGCTTGAATACATTCCCTCTCATCTCTTAGTTTGTTGAGAAAGAATAGAGCATATTGCAACCATGGGGTAACAATTTTCCCACTCGTGAATTCTTAGTTGTTGCTGAAATAGATGTGTGGAGCTCTGCTGTTGGTAGAAGAAAAGGATTTTGTCATCCCAAGCCTGACATCAGCACCTACCTAATTCTGAAATCTTTGGGATTTTAATTTGACAGAATTTGTTTGCAACTGTGACTAGAGCTTTTTCCCTTTAAGGACTTAGCTGTTGTTTCCTAATAGGAATAGGTTACTCTGTTTGGGCCTTCTGAGGCACACTACACCTTAGAATTGGTGGGTTGTAATATCTAGTATTTGCCCCAACTTAGCAAGCAAAACTTGGAACTCTTAGGAAATAGGTTTCTTTTCAGTATCTTCACAGGTTGTTATTTGTGATTGTAGGCAATGTCATATGCAAGTATTATAGTACAGTACTTTGGTGGTAGTGATGTAGTGCAATATTATGATGATATTTTAATGATGACATATTGGTGATCTTATCCAACAGGAGCCAACCTGGTGTGTCAACCCCCACATCTGTCATGGTGACAAGTACAGCGACAGTAGCCTCCATGACATCCTTATATCCAGGAGGAGGATTGGGGTTGCCTCCACCTCCCCTTTTTGCCCCACCACCTCCTCTTCCTCCTCTCACCACCACCACTGTCACATCTTGTACATCTGCAGGGTTGGGGCTTTCTACTACTACTCCCAATCCCTTCCTTCCAGAATCCCTCCTCTCCACTCCATCATCTGCTGCTCCAGGTAAGCTCATAGGCCTTGGATTAGTTAGGCTTTTTTCTTCAATTCCCAGCTGTGCATTATACATGGTGTTTCAAAAAAATAACTGGGCCAAATCATTTTCGTTAGTAATGAGAGTAAGAGTAAATTTGATCAGATTGGCTTAATTCTTTTATCATTGCATGTAGATATAGGAAAGAAGGTGTGGGCCAAATTTGAAGAAAATTGACATTGTTTCATGTTCTATACAAGTTCAAAGTTAAAAGTGTGCATGGCACACCCATTTATGCATTCACCTCAGCCAGTGAAGCTAGCCTCCTTTGGCTGTTCTGTATGGCACATATAGACACTTGCTTGCTCCTTAGTTGAGGTGGATGCATCAGCAAGGATGTCTGGTTCATTTTCTTAACTTTCAAGTTTTAAACGGTGTAGCACACATGGGGTCAATGGGGTCAATATCCTTCAAATTTTCATAAAACCTTCTTTCATCTATCCACATGCAGTTTCTGAAATATTGGCCGATTGGAATAAATTTACTATCATTCCTATAAAAAAATGAATTGACAGTTTTTTTTTTAACACTGTGTAGTTCTTCCCACATTTTTTGAGGACTCAAGCATAAAAATGGAGTTTTCAGTTTTGAAGAAAATCTTGTGCCATTTGTTTACATCTGACATTTTTGGTTGCTTTTCCCTGATATATTTCTTAGAAATGAAAAAGACAAGAAGGAGATTAGGAAGTAGCTCAGATTGGTCACTTTTTATCCCTAGAGACCATTGTTCTTTCCATTCATCACTATCTTTCACTTGCATTATGAATTCCTAAGCAAGTTTTCTATGACTAGTGGATTACATGAAAGTGTTCTGGAAACAGAAGTCAGAATTGTTGCATTTTTATAATCATGAGGAATGATTACCTCTTCAGTATATATTGGCATGGAGAAGGAAAAAATAATTTTACTATCTCAAATACTGAGATTTTTTACCCAGTTATGATTGCTAGTAACCAAAGTGTGGCTGGTGAAGTGTAATGACCTGACTAGATACCTCCATACCTGATGATAACTGAGTTTTATGCATGCAAATTTCTATTTTGTTTTTAGGGACAGACTTCCTTCGTCGAGATCTAGACTCCCGCCTCCTGGCCTCAACAGCAATTCATGCCACTACTCCCACTATCACCACTGCCTACTTGGCCACAGCAGGTCCTTCCATGACTACAGCCACCACCAATGCCAGTGTTGGTGCCATGAGCATCACAACACCTGCTCTTCATCTCCGTACTGAGATGCATCACCACCAGCATCAGCACACCCACCTCCATCAACATAACTCTCTCCTCCCGCCTCTTCTCCCACCTGGGCTCGCCCCCTCTGCACCCACCCCATCACCTTCCCTCTTCCCCCCACCACTTGTAAGCAACTGCATTTGAATATATGTGACAATATCTTCAACCTTAATTGCTAGGTTTGACTTTGTGGATTTCATTCCTGTGTGGCAGTTCAAGGATGTGCCGAAGCTTGGTGGGCTGGACAGTCCATTTTACCGGCATCCAGGAGGACCCCCAATGCCTGGTTATCCAGGCTTATCTCCATTGTTGCCACCAAATGCACTTGGTGTGAATCCAGTTGTCTCTTCTGCTCCACCTCTACGCTCTCATACTCCTTATTCATCACACCTCCCTGTCCCACCTAAGGTGAGCATTTCTGCTGTGGTGTGTGAAGGAACATCGTAAAGTTTATGGACTGATGTTAATTCTCTCCATAGTAACCAATGTCCATTCTGAATTTTTCCTTTTCATAGTAATTTACTTGGTTTTCACTGGCTTGCATGATCCATGCAAGACTGGAATGCCAATTGGAGACCATTTTCTGTGATAAGGCAAGCTGCAACAGTGGTAATCTTCACCTTGGTTATATTCCTCAAACTGGTAACTGTGCATTTGCATTTTCATCCAAGGGAAGAACCTGAAATCACAAGGAGCAAGAGCTTGTGAATATGAGGGAATGTTCTGAGAGGGTAGCTCCCAAGTGGACCACAGCAGCATATGTCTCCTGCAATTTGTGGTCTTTGGTTGTTCTTGCATCGTGGCAATGCTAAATTGCATGGCCATATTGCATGGAAGACATGAGCCTCTCTGGTCTAGTTTGAAGCTACTATTTCAGAACACCTTCCCCCCACCCATATCCTCCAAATCTTGCTAGTTGCAATTAATGGTTGTTCCTTCACATGAAATTGCAGTTTTTGAGCAGTCTGAAGGTTTTATGCAGATCGCCACCACTGCAGCTCATATCATAGCAGAAAATGGTCTTCACCTAGCATTTCAGTTTGGCAAATTGTGCAAGAAAGTTGTATTGCAATTGAAGGATGTCACTTATAAAAGGAATCAAGTCACTGAAGTCACAGATAAATGTGGGGGAATTATGGCATCAGTCCATGAACTTTGTGGCATTAAATCTTACATAGCCTGCTTCATCAACATGTAGGTAATAAATGTGACACATATTTTCTGTTTAAAATTCAGAATTTACTTCTCATTTTTCATCCATTTATGTTGAACTCAGTTCTTGTTGGTTTATCGTACTGATTGTATCGCCTATTCATGTACAGTTTTTATTTATTTTAAGAAATTGAGCTTGAGCATCTTTGAAACTATTCAGGTCATTCCATTCACTATCCTCCCTCAAAAATTTAATATATGAGCCCCTTAGACATGTCCAGTCAGTCATTGTCTAAAAGCTCTATCCTCCCAAGACTCAAGCAGGTTGCACTGAAAATCTCTTCTCATTCCTTTCTTATTCATGGGTCTGTTTCCTTCAGTGTCATGCATATCATACATAGCATAAGGCATAGACTTCACTGCCAGGATTCTCAAGGAGATATACTTGTCAGCATGATAATGCAAATGCAATTCCTGTTGTTCAAGGAGTGACAAAGGCTGGTTTCAAAATGGCAGTTCAGTTGTGGTTTGGTTCTAGTTTTAATTTAAACTCTGGTCTGACTGAAATTCTACTGTGCTTTTGTTAACTTCTCACAAATAAATTCTACTGGAACTGCTACTGAATTAAAATTGGAACTGGACTGCAGTTTTGGAATCAGTTGAAGTATCTTGAACAAAACCCCAATAATATCTAACTGACAAATGTGTTTTTCCTTTCTTGACTCCCACAGAAGACAGGTCGGTGGAACTCAATGCATGTCCGTATTGCATGGGAGATCTATCACCATCAGCAGAAGCAGAAGTCCCTTCACAATAACAGTAACAACAGTAGCAATGGCATCAATGGAGATCCCCAATCTAATCATCCCAAGCTCTCCTCTGCCCTCACAGCCCCCCTGAGCACCACAACAGCCTCGTCAGCGTCTGCTGCCTCAACAGGGCGCCCTCCACTCCATGCACCTCCACCGCCACCTCCACCACCAATGTCCTTGGCTTCCAATCACCTCTTCCCTCCCACTATGCCTCCTCACCTTTTGGGTGCTCCCTCTGCACCCAGGCCTCCATATGGACCTCCATTAGATCCATTATTCACTGGTGCACCTCCTCTTGGTGAGTTGGAAGTTTAGAGGATTGATTTTCAAGCCTTTATGAATATTTCCTACTGCACAAGATTTATATTTAAATATAGCCCAAAAAACTTTAATCAAGAAATAAAATATTAGGAGGAAGTTAGAGCAACACTGATTGACCATTAATGACTTGCTGGGAGACTTGGGGTGCTGATATTTTTAGGGAAGTTTTATTACCATTCCCTGGTCTGTTATTTGCTGTTTTTTATTATAAAAATATGTTATATGCTTGATGTATTTTTAGGAGACAAGTTGCTATCAATTACAGAAGCCTTGGTCACATTGATTTAGTAATATATGCATAGTATTCAGTTCCACCATGTCATATTCATTCAGTATGCAATATCATTTTTTTTAGTTGTATGAAGGAATTGATGGGCAGTAGATGGAGTAGAAGTACTAAAATAGCATTGTACCATTTATTTATTTATTTATTTTAAATTTTAATTTAATTTTTTTTTACCAAAATATAGGGAACGACAAATTGCTGAGAGTAGAATCTATGTATACAGCCAAAATGAGATAGGGAAAGAAGAAGTTAAATATTATCCTGTTGGGCAGCAATTGGCATCTGAATATCTTGGAGGACCAGATGGCAGAGTGCTGCACCTTAGCAGGCCAATGCCTATCAGAGTCATTGAAATGAAAATCTTAACCCTTTCATGCATGAATTTTTAAAGCAAAACAAAAATATGCCATTTATGGTTTAACGTTTAAGGAGGTACTCTGTCGTAGTTGTCGAATGGTCTACTGCTAGAAAGCAACACTGAACAGATTATGTGCCTTTGAGTTGACTGCACGCACCAAAAATTTCGAGGTATGAGTACCATGACTGAAAACTCATAATTATTGCCAAAATTTTGCCGTCCACTACAGTGGACACCATGCACGAAAGGGTTAATGAATGTCTAATGCCAAATATGCCAAACATCTACTGTCAGACCATAATGTGCAATTTGATTGGGCCTTCATGGGCCAGAGGGAGGCCACCTTTTGCCAACAAATGCTGTAGGGAATCTTGTGTTCTCAGTTGGAGAAAGTAAGCTCTGTAGATGAATGTTATATTTTGGACATGTCATGTTATGGTGACCAGGATGAATTTTGGTTGACCAAGTGTTGTCCAGTCCAACCCTCATGTATGCAGGATGCATCAGAGAAGGTGCAGTAAGTACGGAAATTTTTAGCAACTAGAAGACTGAATGGCATACCTGCACTTGGCCATTTAGATTCATTTCACTTTCAGGGTGAGAGACAGCCAGAAAAACCCTCCAAGTCTGACAGATGGAATCCATTTTGGCATTTTTCATGAACTGATATAGCTATCTGCCATGCGGTTCCATGACAGGTGTCCATTCCACTACCACCTTTAACGCTTTGAGGAATATGAACGTACTGGTACGTCCATACCTCCCAAAAGGTTCAAGAAAACTCACTCCTCAAAGGGTTAAGTGGTGCCTGTCAGTGGGCAGTTGGCAAAGGTATCTGGGTGGAATATCATGGATAGTGCAAAGTTGACTCCTGCAGATACCCTGTGCTGTCATTCTGCATTATGCACTCCCATTTCATGGCAGGCAATGCATGCATGAAAATGAATGCTAGTAATGAATAGGTATGGTAGAGCAACTTCGTCTACTAAATCTGGTGAAGTTTGAGAATTGGTCTGTCAACTCTAGTTGGATTCAATTGAGCATGGGAAGTGCCCATGGCTGATTCAACTGAAAAGCTTTGAATGAACAACATATGAAATAGATATTGATGGATTTCTTCAATAGTTCCCTTGAGAATCTCCTCTTTTGATAGAGTTACAATGCTACTGGTAAAGAATAATTTATATTTGGAAAGCCTCATCCATTAGTTGTATAATTTTGGGATGTTAACACTCTCCCTTGACAATCCACCCAAAAATAAACAAATCCTTCATAGTACACATGATAAATATTGCCTAATCCTTACAAAAACTCTAGAAGCTTGTTTACTTTAAGTTGACCCAATGCTGAGTCATGAGTTATTTGTAAAACTGATGAGTATGATGTGGACTTTGCAGGTGGGATGAGTCGATATTTGCCGTACGGAACAGGGCTCTCCCCTTTAACCAGTGCCCTTCTTCTTGGAAGAGATTACCCAAGTATCCCTCACTTGCCGCACCCATCGCATGATCCGTGGGGAAGGTATGCTTTTTCGCCGTCGCTTCGATTCTGCCTGAATGTCCTCGGGAATTTTGAGTAGAGATAATGGTTTTGTCCTGTTCAGGCTCCACGGTATGGGTGCGAACCCTTTCGCTTGGCCACCGAAGCCTGATCTCTCCCGAGAACGTGATCGAGAGGAGAGGGAACGTCGAGAACGCGACCGGACGCGGACCAACTCGTCGGATGTGAAGCGGGAACGTGAAGTGTCTCGATCGCCGATCCGGCGTGCAGAAAGCCGTGCCAGTAATCACAGTGGTGGGACCGTCACCCCATCCCTTTCGAATCACAAACCAAAGATCGAAGGTGGAAGTGATTCTCGATCGAGTAGTGTGGTGGAAGTTAAGACGGAGGAAAGTGCGAGTGTGAATTCGCATAACGGCCCGGTGGAACAACGGAGCAAAACGTCACCGGTGGTGACTTCGGCTCGGACCTTCCGCCCGTCCTCTAGTCCAAAAGTGGGTCTTCCCTGGGTGACACCCGAATCGTCGTCGGCTGCCATGGAACGCGAGCGAGAGCTCATGAGACTCAGCAATCCCTTGGGATCCATGATCCTGCAAGAGCAGCAGCGTTCCATGAGGACTCCGACCAGCCTAGAAGCGTTCGAGCGGCAGCTACAACTGGAACGGGAGCGGTTGCTAGCCCTAGAAAGGAGTAAACTTTTCCCTGCCGGTCTCCCGCATTCGGCTGCTCTTTTTCCTCCACCGCCGCCACACGCCGCATTGGATGGGAAGGGGCTGCCAGGAGCGGCGAACCCGTTCTTCATGTTTCCCCCGCCACCGCCTTCACTGCTCAGCCAGACGCCCAAGGAGCATCCAGCTATGGATCTTCACAAACATGGGCTGTGACAGCCAGTGACATCCCTGTTCAGTGCCAGTCGTGATGACACTCGTCCATTGTGATCATGCTTCCCTTTTTTCTCTCTCTCTGGTGTTATGAGGAAAAAGTGTTTTTCGAAAGAGTGATATACTCAAAGTACAAGCCTTGATATCCCCTTTTTTGGGCAGCTTTGAAGTCTCGATTTTTGGCAAAGATCGAATATTCTGCTGTCTGTGCAATCTCCTGTGTGTGGTTTCACCCATCTCCCCAAGCCCAGTTCCGATTTTCACATCATTGATGTTCGATTTTTTCATCTAAATATTTTTGTTGGGTATTTTTTATACCCAGGTAGAGGATGGTGATTTTTTTTCCAGTCTTGCCTATGATGGAACTCTTTTCTCACTCTGATGGAAGCTCTTTCCTTCACATTCGTGATAGCTCCCCTTCCCTATTTAATAAAATGGATTTTAATTATTGTGACATTTTACATGTGCCCATCTCCATTTTGCCTTGGAATCCCGTGCCATCGACCACGACGACCCATGTCGCGATTCGAATCGGCAGAGAGATTACTGCAGACTGTGAAGTAATATGGTAGAGCCAAGGTGGCTTCCTGAGTCACCCTGTCCACTCTCGGTGGAATCTGAGCATGAAATTCCGGTGAAAACTCGTAGAGCTTGCTGTTCGAGCGTAACAGATCGGTTGAATCAGTAAACCACCGAGAGCCAATGAAATGTTGAGGCTTTGTTAGAAGAAATACTCTACAGGTATATCTTTTGTAAATTTGGTTGTGGAGTACCCGTAAGAACTATTAGAAGCGCACATGTGGCCTAAGATTATTTCAGTTTAGCTGCTTACCATCGTCGTTGAGTATTGTATAAGAGTGACACCTAGCGTTGCAAGTCAACCATACCTGAAATATGAAATACGAAGTGGAAGTGGTACGAGCATGAGGGTTTTTTCTGAGGCTTCTACCGACTTTCTTCTACGATTTAGGCCCGGATGCTGAAACCTCCTTTAGTAAACGGTCCTTTAAGAATCGATGGACCCCTAGGGGGAAAGAAAGCTCTTCAGCTTAAAAGCCCCTTTACTTCGCCTAAATGAAGTTCCAGCATTCGGGCCCATGGCTCTATATCCACGGTTAATGTCCATTGCACAAACTGATATGTGTTCTCAACTAGCGAGTTTTTTTGCCCTTCGGGCCAACGGAAATTCATCTGAAACGTGCTTTCGAGGCGCCCTCCTTTCGAGTGATAAGTAAACTCCATGGGTTTTAGGCAGTTTTCGTGGTGACGTCGAGTTACTTTCGGTTATGTGACGCCATTACCAACTTTAGGTTAGCAAAGGAAGATTCTTGGCTTCCACCCAAAGATCCCGCTTGAAAATTTTCTTCATCCGGTACTTGGTGAAACAGCTATAAAAAGCGCTTTGCTAAGGGTCATTTCATCTCAAATCAGCCAGAGGCGGGAGCCTGACCCCCTCCGATGTTGGCGAAAGTTTTTTTTTTATGTGATATCCCTCAAGGCCCAAAGTAAGAATGCTTAATTTTTCCTTCGGGTATGGAGCCGTTATGATTCGTATTTGTAAAATTCAAAAATTTTGTAAAATTTCAAAAAAGGGTCTCTTCATGCTCGTGGGGCGAAAACTTTTTGACCAAAACGAACGCAGCAAACACCATTGTTCTTTTTAAAAGAAAGGTTAGAATTTCGAAGTTATTTCAGATGATTTTTTCCTCGAGGCGATACTGAATAAAAGAAAGCTATGTCAAATTCTCCATCTTTTGGCATATTCAGAAATTTCTGAATGTTCATCGTACCCTATCATCACATATGTTTTTGGAATCAGCGTAAGAAGATCTAATGATGTGTGTCACATTTTTATCCCAACAAATTCCACTTAAGGAGATGTGATGGTTCGATATATGCACAAATCACAAATTTTGCACACAAAAAAACAGTTTTCAGTGGTATGGTGCCATTTTCTATGCAGCTCAACAAACTTTAAAAATTTGCAGAATGTCTGTCATTTACTTGAGTAAAAGATGAGAGCAATTTCAAAGCTCATATATATTTAAATGCATACCACACATTTTTATTGAGACCCCACCTCAGAATTTTTGCCGTTGTTTTTAAGGCCAAACATTTTTCCTTTGATTGCAGTTCTGAAAAAAAAAATTTAATTTTTTGTTAAAGAACTGGTAATGAAAAGTATGTTTTTTTTTTGGCCATAAAAACAACGGTAAATGACTGATATTCCAAAATATCGGTTTCTTCCTCGACCGAGCGCTTCAACAGCGAAGCTGAAGCTTTGTAATTGCTCGTTTCGCTGGAACGAAACAATTTCATAGCGTACGTATCCTCCAGGAAAATATCCCCATGTTCCCTCAAATTAACGTATCTAGAACTACAGTTTACAGATTTTCAGCTGTTCTGCCCACTTCACTGAAACGAAAGAATTTCGAGAAAGATCCAACCCCCCCCCCCCCAAA